CAATGTTGATAACTGTTGATGCTAATAAGTAAGAGTGTGTTGTGCATACACACACAAACATCCATACACGTGGGTCTTCTACTTTTATGTATGTTTGTAAATTTCTGTAGTAAATTTAGGGAAAAACCAGTGATGGCACACTTTCAGACAAAGGTTCAAGAGTGTTTACTATTTGCACATCATCACTAAAAGAACTAGGAAGATGAAGGAGAAGACAGTTGAAACCTGATAGGAAGGGGTATAGGACTGAGGACAGTGACAGGAGAGCAGCCGGGACCGAACGGTGGCCTGGCCAGTGGGGTATAACCGAGGTGGTGACGATACTGCAGGAGCTGGGAGGGAGAGGGCTTGGAGTTGTTCTCAGGGCTGAGGCTCCTGGAGGGCGCAGCCTGTGAGGGTTAACCCTCTGCCCTGTGGGGTCAGTTACACACATCTCAGAGCCGAAAGCAGTGGAAGTGTGGCTTTCAAACAAGTGGAAGAGGGAAATAAGCAATAACAGGAACTCTTATTATTCCAAACAGAGGCAGAAGAAAAGAAACCGTGATAGTTGAATCACGTGAGATTGCCAGTATCTGGCTGCCTTTGCCCCACGCAGGGGGAGAGGGCTGTTATGTGTGGGCTTCCCAAAGTGTCAGGGCCGTGAGTGCTGCTTCAGGCGCCTTCCCGTTCATCCAAGGGCAGGCTGTGATTTTGGCGGAGCTGGTGTGCTTTAACCCAGGACGTGAGATGTCCTCATTTCTGGAAAGTATCTTCTCAAGTAATGCGTCTCTTGTTCCCTTTGTTTTCTCCTGAAAATCCTATTAAGATGTCTTATTTTGCCCTCTGTGGCTTTTAATCTATTTTGCTTATTTTTAGTTTCTTTGTTTTGCTGGATGGAGTCCATTCCTCAGATGTCGTTCAGTTCACCAGTTCCCTCCTCAGCTTAAGTCCACGGAGATGTACAGCTTAGTGACCATTGTATTCATTTCTAGAAGTGATCTCATTCTTTTCCAGCTGTTTTTCATGTTCCTAGTACCTTTTTTCTTCATTGTGGTCCCGTTTTCTTTCCAGGCATTTTAAATGTACTTACTCTATAGTTTCCTTGATCACCCCATTATTTCTGTGTCTTGGGTACGAGTTCCTTTGTGTATTGTATTTCTTTACACTCTCGGTGGTTTAGTTCTTCAGAGCTTGTGCTTTTTTGTTATGGATTCGTCTCTGATGGATGGTTGTTCAGGTGGTCCCTCTGTATCCTGGGTTGCAGAAACCTTCCTACGGAGAGGAGTGACATTTGCTTCTTCAGAACCCGCGGAGGGTTTTCTTGCTCTAGGCTCATCCTGGTGGGCCTGCAGGAAGACCGTGTAGCTTTGGGTCGCCTGCCTCGGCAGGGTTGGGCTCCGGGTTTTGATCTCTCATAGGCTGTGTCCCCTGTCCTCGAGTAGCCAGCATACTTCCTTGCTGTTCCTCTGGACCAGTGGAACCTTTTCTCAGCCTTAGGGGTGACCAAGAAATCCCTCCCGTTTTACTGTGCCTGGTGAGACCAGGGCTGTCTTGCCCCTGCGTTGGTTGCAGCCAAGCCCTGGGACCGGCCCTTTGTGTCACTGTCATTGGTGGTGTTTTGAGATCCTCCTTACTTTTGGCACCTAGGGATCCCCACTCCCTTTTTCTTTTAGCACATTTATTTTTAAATTCTGATGTTTTCAGCATTATTTTTAGTTTATTGCAGGAAAGAGAAGATCTGCTCTGGGGACCCTGGAGAGGTCACACTACATCGCGTTCTCGCCATTTCGCTGCTCCTCAGTGAGGGAATTGTATCAGTTTTTGGCTCTCGGATGGTCCAAGATTGTTCTGTTTTTCTTAGGATATTAGGGGGGCTGAGTGTCTTCTAATATATTTTCTGTGAATTTGTTATGAATGGCCATAACTTCGCCTCTGATATATTACATTTAATGCTTAAAATTTTTTTTTGGAAGCAGGTACTAGAGGGTTCCTTAAAGCCGTACAGGAGTTCCTGCGGTAAACCCAGGCAGCGAGGCTCCCGCTCCCTAAGGGAGTTCCTGTGGTGGACCCGGGCACCGAGGCTCCCGCTCCCTAAGGGAGTTCCTGCGGTAAACCCGGGCACCGAGGCTCCCGCTCCCTAAGGGAGTTCCTGCGGTAAACCCGGGCACCGAGGCTCCCGCTCCCTAAGGGAGTTCCTGCGGTAAACCCGGGCACCGAGGCTCCCGCTCCCTAAGGGAGTTCCTGCGGTGGACCCAGGCAGCGAAGCTCCCGCTCCCGCTCCCTAAGGGAGTTCCTGCGGTGGACCCAGGCAGCGAGTCCGCTCCCGCTCCCTAAGGGAGTTCCTGCGGTGGACCCGGGCACCGAGGCTCCCGCTCCCTAAGGGAGTTCCTGCGGTAAACCCGGGCACCGAGGCTCCCGCTCCCTAAGGGAGTTCCTGCGGTAAACCCGGGCACCGAGGCTCCCGCTCCCTAAGGGAGTTCCTGCGGTAAACCCGGGCACCGAGGCTCCCGCTACCTAAAGGGAGTTCCTGCGGTAAACCCGGGCACCGAGGCTCCCGCTCCCTAAGGGAGTTCCTGCAGTGGACCCGGGCACCAAGGCTCCCGCTCCCTAAGGGAGTTCCTGCAGTGGACCCGGGCACCGAGGCTCCCGCTACCCGTGCTGTTCACCATGTCACGTCCCCGTGCGACTATCCCTAGAGCCTGGACTGGGATGTGAATGCTGAATGCCCTCTGGCGTGGGCGTTTGCTGGGAGACTGCATAGCCCTGTGATAAGAGCCTTGCATCGTTGGCTGGTGGGAGTCGGCCTGAGTGAGAGCCAGGCACGGGCTCTCCCATCCCTGCTGTCCTCCTGGGACCTGCCCTGACTGTTCGCGGTAGTTAGCTTTCTTGCGGAGAGAGGGCGTTGCAGTTACTGGCACTGCAAGCAGGCATTGCTCCTCTGTGTGACAGCTCAGTGCAGGGGCTTTATGGCCATAGAGCCCTCTTGTTGAGAGCTGAATACGAGGTTTTGCGGATGAGTTCATGAGACCTCCTAGCCCAAGAGTTTTGGTTTAGAGGCCAGCAGAATTGTGAATTCCCTTTTTCTAAGGGAGAAAAGACAACTTCTTTGGACTTAAGCCTGAGTTGTCTGGTTCTCTTCTGCCTATCTTTTATTTTTATATAATATTAGTAACCTGAAACTTTGTTTTGAAAAAGCTTTTTCCCTTTAGTTCTCATAGTAAATTAATTGAGTTTTATTAACTATAGTGTGAGATGTGCCTTAAGTTGAAGTGAAGTGAGGCACTGTCAAATTATTTGCTTTTAAAATAACTTAGAGCAGGTTCAGAGTCATTCTTGTGAATCAACTTCACTCTTTCCATGTACTGTTGATCATCCTGATGGCTGTAATTTAGGCATCAGTGACCTCCCCTCTACTATTATTGTGTATTCTTCCCCCAAATTTCAGATTTTAAAGATGAAAAGGCATTGTTTTTCTTAGGATGAAAACATGTCATAGTTTTTTCTTCCACAGTTTAATTCTTTGCTGTGGATATAAGATTGAGAAGGAAAGTGTGTTACCTAGAATAGATTGGTTTTTCTCCTTGTATTTCTTGTGGTTTAGAAGTAATTTATTTCCCATGGAGTTCTGATTTCCATCCTGTGGGCAGAGAGGATTCTTTCAATTAGGGATAACACCTTCTGTTTTGTTCTTTATTTTCAACCATTTGGAAAGCTTCTACAGTGAGGCATTGAAGGAAGAGTTAGATAAACCACTCCATGGTTAAATATAGTGTGTCTTGTTTTGGGCATTTTGGGTTTCTGTTGCTAAGAAGGTAATGGAGATACTGAGCAGGCATTTGGAATTAAGCACCTGAAGCGTGGGTGTGTTTGTGGTTGAAGGTGCTGTTTTAGGAAATACTATCTAAAGAGAGGGATTCTGGACTGTGTGCTCAGCGTCCTTCCACTTAACACACCAGAGGGACAGTAACAGCGATTCATACAGCAGGACCCTGCAGGGGAGACGAGGGGAAAGGTGTTGTATCAGTCAAGTCCCTTAGGAAATGCTCATTGGAATTTCTCCCTTCCTCCCCACCAGCCCAGGTAGCCTTGGAGAACCTGCGATTAACAGACACACCCACTCCCAGAATCAGCAATAGACACAGACAGACAGATAGACCCACCTCACAGCACCTGTGATAGACAGACACACCCACCCCTCAGAACCAATGATAGACAGACACACCCTGACTGTCCATAGTACCAGTGATGGACACCCTTCCCGCCCCCGCCAAAAAACCAATGATAGACACACACACACATATTCTGAGAGCCGTGTTATCAGTTAACAAGTACTTCTTCAGTCTCCCTTATGCTGAATAAGTCTCTTTTGAATGGATGTTGAATGAAAGCCATGCAATTTTAAATCTTTGAGTGTTTGCAGTAATCATGGCTGCTTCTGTTGTCCCTGGGGTGGAGGTTATTAAGGCAGCGTGGTTTTTCTAGTCTTCGCCCCGGCTTGGCTAGGCTTTCCTTCTCCTTTGTCTGTTGCCTTTAGCCAGACCCTACTTGTTTAGAGAGACTTGCATTCCGAGTGATCTGAATCCCTGAAATACAGTCCAGACCATGGGACTTGATTGTCTTGATGTTGTTACATGTGTGCCAGTGTTCTTTCTTGTCCTGTTGGGGCAATATTTTACCTGTGCTGCACTCCTAAACTGTATGTGTAGTTTGTGACACTTAGAGGTCTTTGTTTGCTGACAGCACTGGAGCAGAATCTGTCAGAGACTTTCAGCCTGAACCCGGAGGATGGGCTGAGGGATGCAGGGTTGTGAAGGGTGCGGCTCCCTGACCTCAGGGTTGCGTGTGAGGAGATGCGGACGCCGTGATGCCTCCCTTGCACGCACAGGCATCTGTCCAGCTTCCCCTTTTGTTTGTTGTTTCACTTAAGGTTGCTGGACCAGCACCTTTAGCTGTGTGGGGGGCTGGTGCATTTGGTCATCTCTAGTGTCGATCAGTAAAACTACGTTACGTTTTTATTTCAGAAAAGCCTGTGTCGCCAAAATCCGGAGCGTTGAAGAGCCCTCCCAAAGGATTTGATACGACTGCCATTAACAAAAGCTATTATAATGTGGTGAGTAATTGCAAAACATTTTTAAGAATAATTTGATTTTTGAATGTCTCTAAAACTCAGCAATATAAAATACAGGTAAACTACCTAGAGTTTGAAGAAGAACATAAAAATTCTCCATTATTTGCTACACAGATATAACACCATTAATATTTTGGTATGTTTCCTTTTAATCTCTAAATATATATAATATTCTTATTTTTGTTTTAATATTGTATATATGGAATGGTACCCTGTTCTTATCACATAACTTGATATTGTTATTATTTCCGCATACCATTGCATGTCTTCAAAAATGAGATTTTAAAAAGATGCATAATGTGATTTAAAGATTTTATATGCATTGAATGCCATTATACTCGTATTTGGAGTAGATGCTTAGTACTTTAGATCAATATAGTTGTTAGGTTATTTTGTATCTTAACATAGTCTTTTCTGGTGCCTGATGTACATATCCAATAGCATGAAATCCGAGGAGCGTGTCTCGACATTGTGCGTAGCAGAGACAGTGTTTCACAGTACTAAACCTCGCTGCATTTTGAAACTCAGTACAAGCAGTTTGTGAGCTTAAAAAATATCTGCAGTATTAAATCTAATATCTAATTCAGACCTTCTTTGTCCCTAAACAGTTGCATGTGCTGCAGAAATAGAAAATGATATTTTTTGTTTGGATAAAATTTTAAACTACTGGCATGATATGCTCAGTGTGATAAACCAACAGAGTAAGCTTTCTAAACATGGATGTGTTTTGAATTCTGTGGGAACTGTGCGTTTCTTTAGTTATTTCTTCCCCCACTGCCAATCATTTTTGTTTCTTGATCAGAGGATATAAATCTGAGTCCATGAGACCTTTGAATTTTTGAAGTGAAATGGCAACTAATTATAGTGTTTCGTTGGATCAGCCCTTTTATCATGTGTGTTTCATTTTCTGTGCTTTTATTAAGAAATGGTGAAAAGTTGTGACAGATTTCGAGTCTGTTGCACCCCCTGACCTGTGGCTGCAGTGTGTGCTAGGAGTCTGCACATCCAGCTTTCTCCTAAGCACTGGCCTGCCGTTTGCCACCAGATCTTCTTGCAGAACCAGTTGGGCTCGGGGGAAGCTGGCTCCCTTGGCAGCTGTTCGGTGGGCGCCCTCTGGCACCAGGCCCTGTGCAAGGTGGTGGGCACACAGCAGTGGGCAGGAGCGGCAGGAGCTTCTCCCTCGGCAGCACGTGCTGCAGGGTGGGCGATGAGGGGTGGTTTGCTCTCCCCTCCCGCCTGCATTTTGTTGCCTCGTTTTGCAGTTTTGCGTCTTCTCCTCTTCTCCTTCTCTGGTCTCTGCATGATGCCGCTGAACGCGCCCCACTAGCAGCCTTTAACTTCCTTTTTCCGTGTATCGGTCAACTCCAGATCCTTCTCGTCCTCAGGAGTCCCTTATTTGAGTCTCACCCTCTGCTTTCCTGATTTCTTGTTCCTTTCACCATCTGGACTTTGACCTGTCACGTCTCAGAGTGTCAGACCCTCAGCGCATGCTGTGTGAGGGCACGGTGGGGCCGCCTGCCTTGCCTGGGCGTGCTCCCCGCGCTCACCTCCTGTTCCGTCATGTGCCTGCTGGACATTTGTTCCTGGGATATGGCTCTGCTGACTTCTTTGCTTTTGAGTCTGTATAATGTGTTATATATGTGGTTTTGTGCATGTAGCTGTGAAAAGACACAGTTTTTATGGTTCTTCAGGGTTTCCTAGTGGAAAACTTTTGCCTCGTGGAGCTGCCTTTTCCTCCTGCGTTCTCATGGAAGGCGTTGGTTTCTTTTCTGGGGAAGGCTTCATGTGGTGAAAATGCAGTGGTAATCCACAGAGGTGTTCCAAAGAGGGAGCTGCTTGTCTTCTATTAGAGTTTCTCCAAATAATTTATTAGAGGAAATTAGTTAGAGCCTTCTAAATTGGTGCCCGCAGCATTTCTCCAGTCTCTTCAGTACTGTGCTTCTGTGAGGTCGTCTGTAAAACCAGGCAGCCATGCTTTCTGCCGGTCCTGCTGGGTGGTTTTCCTTTGCATTACACATTCTGTAATCCTCTTCAGATGAAGCATGATCAGTACTCTTTTAGATTTCCACTTTAACTGTGCTTATGCAGGGAGAAGAGACTTTCTATCACATGAGCTATTCTCTTTGAATCAGCCAGCTCTGTTATTCAGAACAATGGGAAAACACCTTGACCTCAAAATCACATCCACATTCTTGTGTACGTAAAGCTCTCTCTGTAAATAGTGCGCGTTAAAATTGCGGTTGTTACGGACATGAGCTCAGAGAATTCGTAGAAATCATCTTTTGGTACAGCACTCTCACAGTGGAGAAAACAGAAAGCCCTGGAGGTTAAAGGACTTGTCCAAGGTCACACACTGGTTAGTGACTAAGCTGGGAATCAATTTCGGCTTTTCTGAATTCTGTCTTTTCAAGTTGTATAGAAAAGTAAAGTATAGAACAGAATACAACATGCAGAACAAAGTATGGTGTATAATGTGTTAGGCATTTTCGCACTTCCTTGTACAGTTTTGTTTTCATGGGAAACTACTGAAGTATAGGTATTTCTAACCCCATTGAGAGGTAAGGAGGCTCTCCAAGAGGTAAGACCACTGTGGGCTGACATCAGTAAAGACAGTTACAGGAAAGACTTAAGTCTCAACTTGGGATCAGTGGAGAGTAATGAGGAGAGTGTTCCAGGTGGAGGCAGAAACATTTTGAAATTGAGACCATGAGGAGACAGGCATGAATGGGGATGGTGATAATGTATCTTTCTGCTGTTGTGTAATGATCAAGACAAACCGAAAAACACTGTGAACTAAAAAGTGATTCTTAGTGATTTGTTCTAGTCATTATGGAACGTTGATCGTCTGTTTCTCTTCTCCTCCTGGGATCCCATTGTGCCTGTTGGTAAGCCTGATGGTGTCCCACAGCTCTCTGAGGCATTGTCCATTTCTTGTTTCTGTTCTTCAGATTGAATAATCTGTATTGATCTCTTTTTAGGTTTGCTGATAATTTCTTTTGCTAGCTCACCTCGTATTTTGAGCCCCTCTAGAGAATTTTTCATTTTATTTGTACCTTTCAATTCATAATTTCCATTTGATGATTTTTGTAGTCAAATAGAGACTATATTCAAGTCATTGTTTTTATACTTTCCATTCATTCTTTAGGCATAGTTTCTTTAATTTCTTTGGACATTTTTCTATAAAGCTTTATTATTTTAGAGCAGTTTTAGGTTTACAATAACACCAAGAAAGAGATAGAGAGATTTCCCATGTACCCCTTGCCCCCACACATGCATAGCCTCCCCCATTATCAACATCACTCACCAGAAAGGGTAGATTTGTTACCGAGGGTGAACCTACGTTGACACAGCATAACCATCAGAGGTCCATAGCTTACTTCAGCGTTCACTCTTGGTATTGTACTTTCTGTAGACTTAGACAAATGTATGATGACATGTATCCATCATTGTAGTATCATACAGAGTATTTTCACTGCCCTAAAAATCGTCTGTGCTCTGCCTCTTCATCCCTCTCTCCAGCCCCATGGCAACCACTGATCTTTTTACTGTCTCCATAGTTTTGCCTTTTCCAGAATGTCTTATATTTGGAATCATATAGATTGTAGACTTTTCGGATTGGCTTTTTTCACTTAGTAACAAGTATTTAAGGTTCCTGCATGTCGTTTCATGGCTCAATAGCTCATTTCTTTTGAGTGTTGAATAACATTCCGTTGTTGGGATGGACCACAGTTTGTTTATCCAGCCACCTACTGAAGGGCATCTCGGTTGCTTCCAACTTCGGCAGTTATGAATAAAGCTGCTGTAAACATCATGTGCAGGTTTTTGTGTGGATGTAAGTTTTCAGCTCATTTGGGTAAATACCAAGGAGTGTGATTGCTGGATCGTGCGGTGAGGGTATGTTTAGTCTGGTAAGAAACTACCAAGTTTTCTTCCAAAGTGGCTGTGCTGTTTTGCGTTTCCACCAGCAGCGATGAGATTTCCTGGTGCTCTATGTCCTCACCAGCGTTGCGGGTTGTCAGTGTTGGGTTTGCATAGTTCTAACAGGCGTGTAGTGGTATCTCGTCGTTGTTTGAATTTGCAGTTTCTTAATGCCGTGATGTGAGCATCGTCTTCATGTGCTTATTTGCCATCTGTTTATTATCTGTGGTGAGAGGTCTGTTCAGGTCTTCTGTCCGTTTTTAAAATTGGGTTGTTCATTTTATTGTTGTTGAGTTTTAAGAGTTCTTTGCATATTTTGGATAACAGTCCTTTATTAAATGTGTGATTTTTTTTTTTCTTTTATCATTTTCTGTAGTTTGAAGACGCTATGTGGAGGTGTAGTTTTTTTGGCATTTATCTTGCTTGGAGTTCTTGGAGCTTCCTGGGGTCTGTGGCTTTCTTGTCTGATATTAATTTGGGGAAATTCTCAGTCATTATTGTTTCAAATATTTATTCTGTTCCTTTTTCTCTTTTCCTTCTGGTATTCCTATTACATATGTGTTACACCTCTTGTTGTTGTCCCACAGTCCTTGGGTTTGGGTGTCGTTCCTTTTTTTCAGTCTTTGTTCTCTTTGCTTTTTAGTTTCCAAGGATTCTATTGATATATCCTATAGCTTTGTGATTCTTTCCTCAGCTGTGTCTGCTCCACTACGAAGCCCATCAAAGACATTCTTCATTTTTGTTACAGTGTTTTTTTATCTCTAGCATTTCTTTTGATTCTTTCTTAGGATTTCTGTCTCTCTGATTACATTGCCCATCTTTCTTGCATGTTGTCTACTTTATCCATTAGAGCCCTTAGCATACTAATTGTAGTGTTTTAAATTCCCAGTCTGATAATTTGAACATCGCTGCCGTGTCTGCTTCTGATGTTTGCTCTGTCTCTTCAAGTTGTGTTTTTTGCCTTTTGGTCTGCTTTGTAATTTTTTCTTGATAGCTGGACGTGATGTGCTGGATAAGAGGAACAGCTGTCAGTAGGCCTTTAGTAAAGTGGATAGGTGTGGGGG